CCTTCCCCCTTTTACACAAATGGAGACATTCACGTGCTCTGCACCTTGCTTATTTCACTAGACAAAATATCTGGTTGAAATCCCTCTCACATCAGTACAGATAGATCTCTGTTATTCTTCTAACTTGTGCATAATATCACACCCTTTAACTAGGCTACAATTGATGGACATTTGGATCTTTTCAATCCTTTGGAATTTTAACGGATTATCTACTTCATATATGATGTCATAAGTTGAGGCCCAAAACAGGCTGCCCCAAAATATCCCACAAAGGCATACTGATTACTTTAAATGAAAATTACTTAACTGGTAGCTGGTGTCAGAATGGCACCTTGATCCTCCCTTGTCTTTCTGAATGCAGAAAATAAATCTCGCATGTAAAAGGAGTCCTTTTGCACCTGGAAGACTCCCCTTATCACTAGAGTTAAACAATTCAGAGCCAAAGAGTCTGTGTAATCAAATCTTCTGGCCTCTTTTCTGATTTACTACTTTTTTAAGATTCTTCATTAATTAATACCCAAACCTTAGATTCCTTTCTAAAGAACACTATTTCTTTTGTTCTGTCAATTTCTCAGAATTTATTGTTTCTTTTTATTGCTTAAATAGTATAAAAATATGCCTGGTTTGATCATTTTTTGAGCCTCATTTTATGATCTGAGCATCATATTGTGATTCTCCCATGTGCATGTATTAATCTAGTCTTGTGTCAATTTTATTATTTTATTATTAGTACAGCTGTAAGAACTGAAGGGGGTGGGGTAGGGAAGTTCTCTTTGCTCCAACACATACATATATGAGGATATTTGTAGGTTAAATTTTAGAAGTGCATTTGTAATTTTGGTAGATATTTTCAGTTTTCTCTCCATGGATGAGCATTGATTTACACTCCTGCCAGCAACATATGATGTATCCATCCCCAGATTCTTGTCAACACATTGTTAACATTTTGATCTTGCCAAACTACCTGGTGAAAAAGTTATGTCAGTGGATTTTAGCTTGGCTTTTTCTTATTGTGAGAGAGGCTGACAGATTTTCCAATGTGAAGAGCCTTTTCTATGACCTGTTTTTGCCCATTATTTCATTGAGTTCGGCCTGTTTCTTTAGTAATTTTTGAATCCTTATCTATAACTTTGTCTGTGATCTGAGTTGCAAATACTTTTTCCCAGTTCGTACTTCGTTGCACTTTGATTGGTGATTTGATGAAGATTTGATGGTGAATTGGTGCACTTTGATGAAGATTTCTTTTTTAATGGAGTTGAATTGATTGATCTTTTCTTCCATTGTTTGTGGGAGTTATGCTTAGAAAAAACTTCAAGATAATAATATGTTCTTATGCTTTATTTTAGTTACTAGATAGTACTTCCATGCTTTTAAAAAAAATTTAAATCTTTAACCCACGAGAGGTCAATTTTGTTGACATAACACCCCAACTCTCCCCGCCAGCTGGTTCTGCTGCTTTCCCAACACCAGTCTGCTGAATAGTCCATCTTCTCTCCAAAGATTTGAAATGTCACCTCTATCATATATTCAAATTCTTATAATTTGATCTTTTTGTGGATTTCTTTTCTTTTTGTGGATATTCATGCAACATCATCATACTTTTAGAAATTATTGTGACTTTATAATATGTTTTTTTAATTTATTTTTTAAATTTATTTATTATTTTTAGAGAGAGGGGAAGGCAGAGAGAAAGAGAGAGAGAGAGAAACATCAATGTGTGGTTGCCTCTTGTGCGCACCCTACTGGGGACCTAGCCTACAACCCAGGCATGGGCCCTGACTAGGAATTGAACCAGCAACCCTTTGGTTCACAGCCCGCGCTCAATCCATTGAGCTACACCAGCCGGGCTATAATGTTTTAATACTTGTTGGATTAATCTCTCTTGGTTTCCAGATTTTTTTGTTTCTTGCTTTTTATTTCCTATATGAACCTGAATCTAATTGCTGTGGGTGTATAATCCCAAAACACTGGATTATTTGGGTGCCTCCTTGGAACATTTCATTAAGTCCTTTATTTAACAGTTTTGACCTGTAAAATCTTCTGCTATACTCCCAGTTTTTCTGTAAAGTCTACCACCAATGGTTTATTTCAGATTTCTTCATGACCTTGAAATCAACCTCTAAGGAACTTACCAAACTGGCATAAGTCATAGCTCTGTCCTAACTGATGCTTTTGGGGCCCCAGCTTCACTGACAGGGGCCCTTCTACTCTCGGCACCTACTCCTTTCCTGCTTTCACTCCCTGTTCTGTGTGTAAGAGAGAAAAGTCAGTCTCTGTGGTGCCCACAAATTCACTGACACCCTCTCTTTAAGGGGTAGAGCTTAAGTCCCCTCTTCTTGAGTTTGGACTGGACCTAATAATTTACCTCTGTTGATGAGAGTACTAAGCATGGTATGTAACTTCCCAAACTGGGTCACAAAATCCATGGTGGCTTCCTGAGCTCCCTTTTGAACTCCTTGCTCTGCATAAGTCAGTTGCCATGTTGTGAGAGCACTCAAGCAGCCAAATAAGGAGGCCCACTTGGTGAAAAAAATGAGGCCTCCTGCCATAGCCATATTACTGCACTAACTGGAAATGGGTCCTCCAGCCCCATTTAAGCCTTCAGATGACTGCAGCCTGAGTTGACATGTTAACTATGACCTCCTCAGAGACCCTGAGCCAGAACCGCCTACTCAAGCTGTTGCCAACATCCCAGTGCACAGAAACTATGTGAGATAATTGGTGTCCATTGTCATTTCAAGATGCTGAGTTTGGGGTAATTTGTTCTAGAGCAATACAGTCTCTATTGTAGAAATTACAATTGAGATGTAACCCTTGTGCCTGTGGCATCACCCATGATTGGGTACAAATGTGTCAGCAGTACCACAGTACCCCAAATTTTAAAGCTCTGAAATGACAATTGATTAGCTTGGAGTACTGGTATTTTCCTAAATTTCCTCTCTTCCCCACTTATTCCCTTTAGGAAACAGTGTATGGCTTAGGAGTCAGTTTTGTTCACTCACGTAGTGGAAGCTGCTACCAGCAGCTCTGTAGCCAGTCAGGGGATGTGACTTCTTGACCTTGTGCTACACTGACCATCGCTATTGGCAAGAGAAACAGCTGTATTCTCACCCTCCCATACCCTCCCAGCCTGTTCAAACCTTCAGACTCCTTCCTTCACCCTTCAGGTGACACTCAGGGCAGATCCCATAACTTGTTTGGTCCCTTTCAGGTGATAAAAAGTCTCTGGTCACTTCAAGTCTTGCAAATCAGTTCTGTTTTTGTAATTCAAATGTCCAATTTTGTGTAAGAGGCAAAATGCAAAATCTTTGCATCTCGTTTACAATTAAAGCCCTCTCTCTTCCAGAGTTTTGTTCTGATTCAGGGTGGCTGCCAATATTAGGAAAAAGAACGAGGAGACATGGACACTACTTCCTCATCTTGAGATTCAATAGCTCCTTCTACAACTTGCCAACCATCAGCTCTGACTCCTTCAGGGTCTGAATAAGGTGGGGAGGAGATAGTAGGCTGGAAAGGTAAGGGTGTGGGGAACAAGAGCAGCTTTTCTGGAGTTGCTCTATTTTGAGCTGTCATTGAAGTTCCCTGAGCTTGGCAGATGTTTACAGTTGATTCTATCTCATGAAGCACTTTGAGATTTTTAGAGCTGCTCAATCTCCACAATTCTGTAAAAAGGATGCCTGAGGGTCTCTCCCCTAAACTTTCTTTAGCACAAGTGAATGCTCTTCTGGCCATGGCAGTGTCTGTCTGCTGACCTCTCCTGCCTCTTTAGATCACCCTCTTGGGCAGGCTCTGTGACATTCAGGCCAGCTTTCTCTAGAGAGGCTCAGCTCTCATCCATGGGAACAGCTCACAAACTCTGAAAGTATGGGCTGTTCCCAACATCAGCCATGGCTTCTTGCATTGATGGGTTCTGAGACATGAGTCTTCATCCAGCATTTGCCCATTGTGTCTTATAAACTTGAAGGGACACAGGTCAAGCTCTCCAACTGGCCCTCTTATGGGTCCTCCCACTGACCTTGCAGCAGGGGTGATGCCCTCTTCCCTCCCACCCTCATTGTGAAGAAGGAGTGGGAAAGGTCAGAGCACTTCAAGAATTATTCCAAAGAGACCTGGCTGGGTGGCTCAGTTGGTTGGAATGGCATCCTACACACCAAAAGGTTGTGGGGTTGATTTCTGGTAAAGGCACATACATAGGCTGTGAGTCCGATCCCCAGTCGGCATGTACAGGAGGCAACCAATCAATGTTTCTCTCTCTCTAAAATCAATAGACATATCATGTGAATTAAAAAAAAAGAATTATTCCAAAGAAATTCCCTCTTCAATCTCTAACTCCCTTTTGAAGTCTTCGACCTCTTGTACAGAATTGGAAGGTGGTGGTCAGCTATGGAGCACAAAGATAGTCTTTGACTACTTCCTTGTGAGAGAGCACTTTTGCTAATTTGAAACAAATACTAACTACTGCTGTCGTGTATGGAGTGTTTTCAGTGCATTTTACCTTCTTGTTGGAACTATCACTGCCTTTCCCCAATCCTGGGCCCTTTGGCTCCACCTCCCTCCCTGAATCTCTAACAACAGCTGCTTGTCAGGTCCCCACCAAGGCCTTTGTCTCTAAGCTCCCTTCCACTGCAGGCTCACCTGGACAATGGGGCTGGCTGGCTTTCAGACTTTCTTCCCAATCTCCTTGCTCTCTTTCACACACACCACCAGACTACTAGCATTCTCTGCCTTTTGTGTTGTGGGGGAGAGAATTAATTTTCCTTTTACCTTTCTGCACTCTTCTGGCTGGTCTGATAATCAAATTAACATGAACAGATTGACAGGAGAAAATAACCAAACTTATTTTTTTATTTTGAAATTATTTTAATTTAGAAATAGAAAACATCTGAGAAAAAAAATGAAAGAACAACACAAAATATGCATTTTTTTACACCACAAGCTTCTCAAAAATCCTCTCTTGTTGACCAGTCTCCAAGATGAAAAACCCTCTTCTAAAAAGGTATTCAGCCACCCACAATGATGTTATTAATGAGGATATGGATCAATTTCACAAAAAGACCAATGAACCCCATTATAGCAAATCCTATTGCTGCTGCCATGGCAGTTTTCTGGAATTCTTTTCTATTGGGTTTGATGCATCTTTTCACCAGCCGAATTGAATCCTTCACAAACCACTGACTGGGCTCAACGAACTGCATTTCCTGATCCACGATGCTGCCCACCATGGATGCTTGGGACACATAGTATGGGAGCCCCCAAACTTATTAGTGTGTATATATGGGGGGGTCCATAAGATTATGGGGACCTGAGGACAAATTGGGCAGTTGAGGCTTATATGCTCTGTTGTGACCGTTCAAGGCTGGACAGGGTCATGGGATTCGGACAGATGGAATAATATTCACAGAGCTGTTGGGATGTCTGACATGCCTTTATTCATGGGTGGGTGATCCACGCACCCTGCAAACTGTGTGTCCCCTTGCATGTCTCTGTGTGTCACATTTCATGTCACCTGTCCCCCAGCAGGAAGTCCCAACCCTCTTATATACAAAATACAGACAAATACACCCTGGCAGGGTGCCAGGATACATTGTATAACACAGCGAGATTCTGCACATGTGAGCCCACTCATGGCTATGGGAACTGCTTATCAGGCCCATTCTCAAGGCTATGAGAACACTGCTTATCAGACCCATTCTCAAGGTTATGGGAAACTGCTCCCTTATTTGTCGAGACATCTAAGTGAGGAAGGCAGACTGCCTCCATTTACCCTACATATGCCAGTCTGGACTAAGGAGATGGAGAGAGGGATCTGGGACTTCAAAGGGAAAGTAGGCAATTCACAGGTAGATGAGAAAGAACAAATGTGTGGTAAACATTCTTGCTGGGCCACCCAGAAATAGTGGGCACAGAGGCGGGTCTAACAAACAGACTTTGGTTCTTCCCTGTCTGCCACACTTAGTTTATATCATGATGCTAAGGTGATAGCTCCCTCCCTTTAAGTAGATTTTTTCTATCTGAATTCCTTTTGCATTTTAGGGGGCGGGGGGATTCAAAGTTTCTTTCTGAGTCTACTATTTCCATAAATAAACCAGCTTAAAATAACCAATATTTCCAAGGCATATTTTGGGGTGACACTCTGTTTCCTCTTAGTACAACTTGGATCACTCCCTTTCCTGCTTAAAAACCATGAGCAGCTCCCCTTGACCTGTATACAGAGTAAAATCAATTACTTCTTCTGATTTGGTTCTCTGTTCCATTTCAAAATGTCCTTCCTGTAAACTCCTTTCAGATTGAATTTTTCCAATCCCATCAAGTGTAACTACCCACTGTTGCCTGACCATCCCTTTGCTTTCTCACCTCAGAGCTTTGTCTGCTCAGAGTTTTGTAATTCTCTTCTCCTCTTTCTTCATGTGTTTCTATGAAAGCTTTCCCGATTTCTGTCCCTGTCCCAACCCTGCCACACACCCAGTCCCTTTTTTGTACCTCAGGTGTGACACTTTCACTGTTTTTCTTGGATGTTAAAATTTTTCCACTGGAAGGCAAGCTCTGAAGAAAAGCCCCTTGTCTGCTTTATATTTTTAAAGTATTTTTCCACTATGATTTTAAAATTTTAATTGTGGTAACTTACACATAACATAATTTATAATCTTAACCATGTTTAAGTGTATGGTTGTCAACAATAAACAAAACTAGGTGTTAGTTAAAGCAGTGAAAACAAATTTTATTCAGTAACTACTGTGGCAGGGAAACAACCAAGCTCTTCTCTGATTCCCCAGCAACAAACGGGCATTTTAAAGGGAGGAGGGAGGAGTAGCGGGCAGGGTCAGGGATGTGAATTAAACACTACAAGAAGCTGGTGAGTTGGATGCTGTAAACACAATTATGCCAGCTGTGTCCTTTAACTGGCATTTGTCAAAGTTGGTCTCTACCCTCCTACAGGCACTGGGAGCCAGAGGCCCAATTGTTCTTGACGATTATGTTTAAAAGGATTGGCTTTTAACTTTTTAAAAAAATTTATTGATTTTGGAAAGAGAGAGGAAGGAAAAGAGAAAGAAACATCGATTTGTTGTTCCACTTACTTTGCATTCATTGGTTTATTCTTCTTGTTTGTATGTGCAGGATTGAACTTGCAACTTTGGTGAATCAGGACAATGTTCTAACCAAGTGGGCTATCTGCCCAGGGATAAAAGGAATGGCTTTTAGTTCCTTCAGAAAGATACTTCTGAGTGATAGCAGAAAAATATACATCTCTAATGAGGAAAGATGTACAATTTTTATAATGGTAAGCTTCTATTTTTGGTAAATGTTTCAAGGAAGAAATTGATTTGGTTTTGGCTTGGAACAAAGGTAAATTCTTTGGGCAGCCTTTAGTTTTTTCAGAAACAGGATTTCAAGGGGGACCTGGGTCTTCCCAGGCCTTAGGCTGTTAGAAGCCATGTTAGAGTTTGGTCTCTTTGTGCAGTGGTTTGAATGGAGTCATTTGAGTGGAGGGTTTATGGAGTTCTCACAGTTCAGTGACACCATTAAGTACATTAACATTGTTGTACAACCAATCCCACCTTCCATCTCCAGAGTGTTTTAATTTTGCAAAACTGAAACTGTGTCCCCATTAAATACTAACTCGTTCTCCCCCAGCCCCTGGCAACCAGTATTCTACTTTCTGTCTCCATGACTTTTACTATTCTGAGTACGGATAGAATCATACAATGTTTGTCTTTTTTTGTGACTAGTTTAATTCATTTAGCATAATGTTCTGCTGACTTTAAAAATAAAATAGTTAAAAATAAAATAAAATAGTTATTTTAGCAACAAATATGGGTTTATTCAAGAAGAACAATAGAATTGTAATCTTGGAAATGCAAGCTATGAAAAAACCATAGTCAAGCCTGAGAACAAAGGAGAGGAATGTTTTTTCACAGAGGAAAAGTGAAGTTAGGAGGAGCTGTTATAAACAAAAAGTCCTTTGCGGGAAAACTGGAGTTTGAAGTAAAGTGGCTTTTCACTGATGGGTTGTGACAGTCTCTATTGTCTAGGCCATTGTGGGGTGGGGTGGGGAGTGGGAGAAGAAAATTGTACTGCCTTCCTTCTGCTGGAGTAGTAGAGTAGAAAACTTCTTCCTGTTTGGGGCAATCTTCTAAGAGGGACAGGGTATGAGATGCCCCTGCCCTCCTGCATAGCCCTTTGCAACTCCAATACTTGTTGAGGTCCTTATTAATTTTCACATCTCCAAGTTTTATCCAAGTTGTGTCATGTGTCAGAATTTCCTTCCTTTTAAAGTCTAAATAATATTACATTATATATATATCACATTTTGTTTATCCATTCATCCATCCATGGACACTTGATTATTTACAGTTTTTGTGAATTATGCTGCTATAAACGTAACTGTAAAAATATCGTTGTGAGACCCTGATTTCAATTGTTTTGCTTTCCCACACTGGCCATGTGTTAGCTACTCAAGAATTTCTTGTGTAAAATCTTACTGAACAAATTTCTTGGCAGTCAGTGGGAATGGCCACAGCAGTTTGACTGAGGCCCACAATGGAGAGATTCCCAGAGGTCCAGGTGGAGAAGGGGGTCCTGGACCAGGCCACATGGTCAGTGCCCTGGAAGTCACAGAACTGGTTGCTGAGATGAGAAGAATTGGGGAGCCTCAGTTGAGGCTCAGGAGCTGAGATTCAGTCCCAGGCAGCAAGCAGCATGTTGACTTGCTGGCCTCAGAAACCTGCAGCTGCAGTGAACCTCTGTCTAACGCACTGCTTCTCCAGCTCTTTCACCTCTTTTGGTTCTCAGATCTTTTATCTCTTCTTCCAAGAGACCCTCCCCAACCACCACAGAAGCAGCATCCCCATGGCCAAGTTATTTTCAAGCATAATACCCTGTTTATAATCTTTAGAGTCTTATCATAGGTTGTAACTATTTCATTTGTCCGTATGTTTTCTTATTTATTGTCTGCTCCCCAACCACCCTGTAAGCACCATGAAGACGGGCCTTGTTTGTTTGCATCCAAGCAGTGCCTGGCACATAATATGGTATGAAAAAGGGTAGAATGAATAATGGTCAGTTTTTTTACAAGACGAATATAGGCACCTCTGGTTGTAGTTTAAACAGTGCTGGGAAGGAGGCAGTGACCCAAGACCCTGGTCAACTGAGACCTCACTGATGTGGGGAGGGGGATACAACAGATCCCTGGAGCAAGCAGGGAATAGAACTCAGGCAATCAGACATTCTGAATGGGGACTGGCAGTCCAGGTACAGGACACAAGGCCCTGGACCCTGGGTTTAAGTTCAGGTGCAAGACTCTATTCATTAGAAGAACCAGTGAGAGTAGATAAGACTTAGCCAACAGGAACCAGACATGAGTCTGCAGTTGCTAGCCTGGGTTGTACCCAAGGGGTAGTAATGGGGAAAACCCCATGAGAGGGCCCAGGGCATAAGATGTAAGTGGAACCTGGCCCTTTGATTGCCCTAATTTGGGCAGGTTGGCTTAGAGCCTGAGTTGGGGATGAACAGCCTCTGCATCATGATTTAGGGTGATGGGAACCAGAAACAAAACCAGCCATTGAAGAAAGCATGGCAAATTTTAAAAATGATGCTTCATGGAACTCAAAAAACCAGGACCATAAGGAAAGGGTGAAAAAAGTGAATGTGTTAAAACTTAATTTCATTTTTTTGTCAAAAGACCCCATAAACAAGGAGGGACTCAAACAGATACCTTGGTCCTCCATGTTGAAAGCAGTATCACTCACAATGGCCAAAGGTAGAAACAACCCATGTGTCTGTCCATTAATGGATGAATGAGTAAACAAAATGTGTTATATACACATATATACAGTAGATATAATATTATTCAGCCTCAAAAAGGAATGAGCTGGGGGAAGGGAAACGGGGAGTTGTTAATGGGCACAGAGTTTCAGTTTGGCAGGATGGAAGGAGTTCTGTGGACAGATGCTGGTGATGGTAGCACAATAGTGTGAATCTGCTTAGTTCTACTCAAGTGTACATTTAAAAATGGTTAAGATGGTGAATTTTATGTTATGTGTATTTTATTGCAATTAAGAAGGAGATCCTTCCACATGCTACTACAACATTAATGAAACTTGAAGACATTATGCTAAGTGAAATAAGCTAGTCACAAAAAGGTAAATACTGCATGATTCTCCTTTTATTGCTTACCTAGTACAGTCAAATTCATAGAGACAGAAAGTAGAATGGTGGGTGCCAC